CTCAAGATAAAATTTAAAAATATTTAGCTCAAGTACTTGTGGAAGATAAGAAAGCCCGTGTTTCTGAGAAAAATCTAAAAAAACCAAACCCTTGAACACTTAGGCTTCAGAGCCACAAGTTCTTATGGGTTTCTTAAGCAAATCATATGACTGCTTAAAAAATGCATACAGCATCATTATTTTCTCCAAATTATGATAAAATACTTACACTGTTACCAAAAGAAATGATTTTGTGTTTAGTATGAGCATTTTGTCTTACAGTATTGTAAGAATTCAAACCCATATTGACTTTTGAGAATTGTGAATGAACAGTGAAAGAACACTGATTGGAAGGAAAAACTTCCTTGCATTTTCATCCCCACTTCTGTCTCAAGTCTATTTCCTGATTGTTTCAGCATCTTGGCAATTTTAAGTGATTCTTTTCCAAACATGTGAAACAGTCCTTTTCTGATTAGCTGAGTTGAAGAAAAAGTGAAAAAAAAAATCTGATATCTGATTTGAACAAATTGCCTGTTAACGATTCAGTTCTCACATTCACCTCAACTCAGCTCCTATTTTTGCTAGCAGATCACTACTCTTGCTCCTACCACTTCAGCCGGGAAACCACATCAATGTCACATTTTCAGAATTGTACATTATTCAGCAAACTGTTAAAAGGATAGGCAATTAAGTCAAGTAACCACTTATCTACATGTTTCAATACTTGCTGCTCCATGGCAGAACCCCAAGCACAAAAAAACTAGAAATCGTAACAATAATGAAAAACTAATATCTAGAATTAGATAGTCTAGTGTGACAAACTGTGAACCTAATGTGTCTAAAAAAATTGTCCTAATAAAATATACTTCTCCCGCGTCTATAATGTCCAAGTAGTCACTCAAGAAACAGGAGTCATTTGTCTTACAGATATGGTGCAGAACTCCAAAGAAATTATGTGTCCAGAAAAAGAAAAGCTAGATTGTGGTAGCAAAGCTTGGAAGGACCAGTCAGCCCTTTCAGTAGATTTTACAACAAAGAGGCGACAACTAGAAAAATGAAGACGCAAATCCCTAATTCTAGTAAGGGAGGAGGCACGAACTTTCATACTCATAAGCAAATCTAGTTTCTTTATTTAAACAGTCTCCAGAAAAATCTCTACTACTATAGAAACTTCATACATCACTGAATCACAATAACTGTATCAGCTATTAGTTTGTTGTGGGTTTTTGTTGTGGTCGTTTTGGGTTTTTATTTCCCAGAATTGTAAAAGGTCTCTCCAATTTTTAAATTGCATTTAAATAAAATCTGTGGTATTCCCAAGTTTCTGGAAACATTTAAGACATTACTGAACCTCATTTTACAACTAAATGCATTACCTTAAGCATTATTCAGTTACATGAAAACAGTCTCCTTGCATCTGAGTTCAAGTATCACATTATCAATTTAGAAAACCATGTTTTTCATTTATCATTCTTCTTACACTTGAAATAGGTTATATTACATGACTTATCTAGATAATTCAGGTCCACAGAAAATAATTAAAAATATTTCATTCACAAGTCTAGCTCTTCTTCCGTCTAATGAGAAGAATTAATGTTTCAACCTTTCTACTACTTGTATAACTGTTGCAAAACCAAATCGTGGTAACACAATGCCAACTTCCCCAACCAAAGGCAAGTTCTTATTACTTGCAATCTGGACAAGCTTGTTGCTCAACATCAAAACCTATCCCTGCATCAGCCATTATACCTAAAATGTAGCTTCCTAAAGATTAGATTCATTCACTCTTCTATTAGTTACCCAAATGTATTTTTTAAACTAGAAAGACACAAAAAAATTTGAATTTTTTTTTCAGCTCACTGTAGAAAAACAGTTGTTGCAGCACTACTCCTGCAATAAAGATGGACTAGTACATGCTACAGCTGCTTGGTAGCTCTGATGAAATAATTTGGACTACAAACAGTCAGAAACAGATTATTGACAGGAGGTATGGCCTTAAGGCTCCTTCTATTGCATCCTCCAGCATTAGTACACCCCTCGTTTCTGATGTGAAAGGGATTGAAACACTTTTCCAGCCTCCCATCAACATGCACGTAGGCTATACTGTTGAAACACTCTCGGAAACTGACTTCAGCCTTGATTGCTCCCTGTGATAAGAAAACTTTAGCCTTTAGAAACATATAGTACTCCTGTGGATTCAGACAGCATTTGAACTGTTACCTATGGAAATATAATCCACAAAAGAAAGCAAATTATACCACGCAATCATTTACACAAGATCCTACTGCCTCTTGCATTTCTCAAAGATAAGCTTGTGTATTTCTAGAAATTGTTATAAATCCTCAGTAGTAGACTGATTAAGTCTATATTTTGATTTCAAAGAATCTTGAAAGCCATCAACAGATGGCTCTGTAAGATTTTTACCTTGTCACTTGAACCTGAATAGAAGAACACTCCCTTCAATATAGCAAACACGTGCAAGCTTTAGAAACCTGTTCTCAGTCGGTCAGGGCTTTTTTAAGACTGAGAAAGCTTAGTTTTAATGGCCAGAAGGCCAATTCTTCTTTCTTTCTGGATGATAGCTAGTCTGTGAGTACAGACCACTAGAGTATCATTGTTCTCCTGGTAAAAGTCCTACCACATAATAACAAATTTCAATTCTCAGGAAGTCACATCAAAAGCTTAGCTTAAGATCCTCCTACGTTGGTCGCCTCAATAGATGCAGATATCAACTGCATGTGTGGAGAAAAGATATGAAAAGGAATGTAAAGACAATGACACATACAATTTATCTTAACTTTTAGTGAAAACCTCTAATTACTCTCTGCCTGAAACAGACTTTCCATTGTGATCTATTATCAAGCTTGATTTTAGCTCTATTTGCAAAAGTAAAAAAGTGATATTTTGATTAATTTTATTTTCAAGGAGGCACGCAATATGCAAAAATGTGAGTACATATTAATATATATAAACATATATATAAACATATCATAGAATCATAGAATCAGCCAGGTTGGAAGGGACCTCTGAGACCATCAAGTACAACCCTTGATCCACTATCACTGCAGTTACTAGACCATGGCACCAAGTGCCACATCCAGTCTCATCTTAAAAACCTCCAGGGACGGAGAATCTACCACTTCCCTGGGCAGCCCATTCCAATGTCTGATTACCCTCTCTGCAAAGAATTTCTTCCTAATGTCCAACCTAAACCTCCCCTGGCACAGCTTAAGACCATGCCCTCTTGTCTCACTGCTAGTTGTCTGGGAGAAGAGACCAACTTCCAGGTAATTGTAGAGAGTGATGAGGTCTCTCCTGAGCCTCCTCTTCTCTAGGTTGAACAACCCCAGCTCCCTCAGCCTCTCCTCATAGGACTTGTGCTCAAGTCCCTTCACCAGCCTTGTTGCTCTTCTGTGGACCTGCTCCAGCACCTTCCTGAACTGAGGGGCCCAGAACTGGACATAGTACTCGAGGTGTGGCCTCACCAGTGCTGAGGACAGGGGAAGAATCACTTCCCTGGTCCTGCTGGCCACACTGTTCCTGATACAGGCCAGGATGCCATTGGCCCTCTTGGCCACCTGGGCACAGTGCTGGCTCATGTTCAGCTTCCTGTCAATCCAAATTCCCAGGTCCCTCTCTGCCTGGCTGCTCTCCAGCCACTCTGTCCCCAGCCTGTAGCACTGCATAGGGTTGTTGTGTCTGAAGTGGAGGACCCGGCACTTGGCCTTGTTGAACTTCATCCTGTTGGAATCAGCCCAACTTTCCAGTCTGTCCAGGTCCCTCTGCAGAGCCCTCCTACCTTCCAGCTGATCGACACTCCCCTGCAACTTACTGTCATCTGCAAATTTGCTAATGGTGGACTCAATCCCCTCATCCAAATCATTGGTAAAGATATTAAACAGGACTGGGCCCAACACTCATCCCTGGGGGACACCACTAGTGACCGGCCACCAACTGGATGCAGCATCGTTCACCACCACTCTCTGGGCCCGGCCCTCCAGCCAGTTCCTAACCCAGCACAGAGTGCCCCTGTCCAAGCCGTGGGCTGCCAGCTTTTTCAGAAATGTGCTGTGGGAAACGGCGTCAAAGGCTTTGCTGAAGTCCAGGTAGACCACATCCACAGCCTTCCCCCTTCCCCCTGGCAGGTCAACTGATCATAAAAGGAGATCAGGTTGGTCAGACAGGACCTGCCCTTCTTAAACCCGTGCTGGCTGGGTCTGATCCCTTGTCCATTCTGTAGGTGCCGTGTGATGTGTAACATGCAATGCCTCGGTCTTAGTTTTGATCCTAGCAGAAACCACTAACACATTTATTTATCAATATATTTCATGGGAGAAAAAATTTCTTTCATTTCACTGACTTTGAAACAGCTAACAGTCTTTTACCTGTAAATTAACCTAACTAATTATTTTGCAATAAAACTTCTTCCTAAGTTTTCAGACGATGACCCCACCATTCAAGAGTTACGACGCAAATATGACAAAGTCAGATTCTCCTATTAGAGTTGAAACTGCTTTAAATGTAAGAAAATTGGAATAGAACAACAAACAAGTAGTATCTTTAGTATAATGCAGAATTATTTCAATATAAAAACCTCAAGAATCAATGTAAATCTGTGTTTATGTCAGCATAATCAGATACGATCCATGGAAGGACTTTTAATATTAAAACAGAAATTATAGTACATTGCATAAGGACTTGGACAGAAGCTTGTTATATAAGATTTCTTTTTTATTTCTAGTAGGTGGTAACATATAACAATTTCACTAATTCCAGCGCATTTTTCAAGCTCACATAAAACAAAAGAAGTTTTGCTGTTCAGAAAAAGAACATCGTTGTTGGAATCTAAAGCCAGTGAATAAGATGTTTATGAAATATTTTCAGGAGAGCATACAAGACCTGAATCTCATTTTAACACATAGACAATAATGAAAAATACTTTTAGGTATCTTTCAAAGTACTTTTAGGACTTCTCAGATTCCACACTGTATTAGTAACATTAGTGTAAGCTTAGTACTTACCCTCAGATGCATTGGGAAGTTCAGGATAAAGTTTGTTTGTATTCTTTTTAGCTGGAAGAGAAAATAAAGCAGCAACTTACATGGCATGCTAACATATATTGTTATATTTTGTATACTGCTTTTCTAATATAAGTTCAATAGTTATTAAATGATTACGGTTATATAAGGAGCAGTGCAGAACCAAAAAATAAGGACTTTACCTTATATCCTTGACTAGAAAAATAAGTTAACAACAGGAGATGCACAGTAAAGCCTCACTTTCAATGAAAGCACTTTGCCAGACAAACTGTCAAAGAGCCAAATTCTGCCTCTTCTGCTCTACTGTAAGACCCCTACCAATTAAAAGATATTGATAACGTAAAGGAGAAACTCTGATTTCTAGAAACCAGAAGTTTCTAGAACTAGGACTAGCGGTTTCTAGGACTGTTCTTTTTACTAAGAAGTTTCATTGTACCGTGGGGCTTCTACATATCCAAGAAACATGAATATTTCCTTTGAACTATTATATGATTCTGTAACTACAAAAACACTAAAGCAAATCTCAGAGAGAAAAGGCTTGTTAATATAAAGCAAACAGACAAACCCTTTAAGGTTTATCACTCATGGTAATATCCTATCATGCTTTTCCAAGAAAGAGTATTAAAAAACATTTTTATAGAGGCAGCTATTATAATAAATGCATAATATCAATAAGCTTTAGTGCTCTAATTTTATAAGGAGAATTAATTAATCATTATCAAAATATTTTAACCTGGTGGCGTAGGTCTAACAGTGGGTTTAGGTGGCTGTGGTCTAGATGATGGTCTAGCAGGTGGGTCATTTACCTAAAATACACAAATTTTTACAAAATGTTGCATCACATCTGGACATAGATTGTGACTTCAGGGCCAAGAAGTATGTCAAGTTACACTGGAAAAAAATTTAAAATCACTCTTTCTCCACTGAACTGGTAGGAACTCAAGAAGCATACAAAAAACTACTGACATACACATGACACTGAAGCAATTCACTACGGGTTTAATGAAGCTGAAAGTAAATAACTGTCTATCAGTAATATCAACATCTACAAGAAATCATCTTCTACAGTCTTAGTATTACATTGTAAATGTGATTGTTTGAATGGAAGACACAAAAAGCAGAAAAATTAAGAGTATCAACATCAACCTGCAATTAACTTGATTAGGGATATTTGATCAAACATCTCTAATCATGACCTCAGATTTGATAATGTACAATTATAAAACAAGAATATACTTTGTTATTCTGAAGGATGCAAAGGAAACCCAGCAACATTCTTGTCCACAAGAGCCTATCAAGGGAATATTTGAACAAATGTATTACATGCAGCATCTGCAACGTGCTACACCTTTAATCATCCAGTAGAGAAGCTAAGAATGCCACATGAACATCAAAATTAACACAGACTAGGAACAGTTCAGGAACAGAAAAAGCCTATGTGAAAAGCAACTGCACAAACCCTTCTTTGTTCCCTTACAGATTTTCCTGGATTATTTTTTTGCTCTTCGTTTTCATACACTTCAGTGAAGGATGCTAGAGTTTCATAAAGATCATCTGCTTGAGCAGGAAAAGGCACATCACCAAGCAGGATGGCACTAGCACGAATATCCTGCCCATAAAACCTGATACAAAAAAAAGAAGATGTCAGGTATTTAATAATTATTACATTTCAAATTCTAGATAAATTCACCTTGTGCAAATGCTTTCCCTCTCCATCCCTGGCCCTGCATTTTTCCTGCTGATCATATATTGAGAAATGACAGAACTGGTACATTGCTGTAAATTTGGAATACTGACCACAACCCTCATTCCCCATTCCCCTGCACTGCTTGGGAGGACGGTGTAGTGAAGCTGAGTGAAGTTGAGCCCAGTAAGATGGAAGGTGTGGGGGGAAAGGTGTTGCTTTTTAGATTTGTTCTTATTCCTCATTATCCTATCCTCTTATTAACTGACAATAAATTAAACTAATTTCCCCATGTTGAAGGGGGTTTTTTGACTGGTAAGTGATCTCACTGCCTTTATCTCAACTCCTGAGTTTGTCATCATACTTTTTCTTGTCCCATCCTATTGAGGAACGGGAGTGACAAAGCACCTTGATTGGCATGTGGTGTCTAGCAAAGGTCAACCTGCCACAGATAATCTCTAAACATTCAGCATCATCTCAATACCCACTGCAAGATGTCTAAATTGAAGAAAGCCTTGTCCCCCCAAAAACTCTAAACCAACCATAGTATGTTCCTATAAAAAACTCTTTTTCCAAATTGAATGTGTCCTAGTTAATTTTGTCACTATGCCTTCACTGAATCACAGAATATTCTGATTTGGAAGGGACCCACAAGGATCATTGAGTCCAGCTCTTAAGTGAATGGCCCATGCAGAGATCAAACACAACCTTGCAATTATTAGCATTATGATCTAACCAGCTGAGCTAATCTCAGGGTCTTCTAGATTTGGAGAGAACTTACTTGCGATTTGTTTCTTTCCTTTCAATTAAACAGGTTCCTTCCAGAGATACACCTGCAAACAGTCCTCGAGATTTGCAGTACGTATAGACAGCAGCAGAGCTTCTTAGAGCAACATCCCCTTCTAAGTTTCTAGAAGAAAAATTTTGGTTGATATTCTTCAATACGGCTTTGCAGCATGAACAGCAATTGTCTTTTTCTTTAAATCCTTTATTTTACTTTAATCCTATTTTCAGATGAGACCCAGTACAAAGTAATTAATTGGCTTGATAAGGTTTCCTCTGAAGCACAGAACAATGTTGCCTCATGTGAATGCTTCCCATTAGGCTTCCTCTGAAAAGTATTAACCCACATTTTAATCACATTTTAAAATGACTGGATTATGTTTGGACTGGTGACTGGAACTCTACTCAACATATTCAAATCTTTCTAGACTTTATGGTCAGTACAAAATAATTCAAGTAAGGCTTCATCAGACCTCAACAGATTTGAAAGATTACAGTATTTGTCCTACCCAGGATCACATTTTAGGTTTGAAGACATTTCAGGCAGTCACCTCAAAATGGATACAACATCAAATTGAGAGCAGGTTGTCTGGACTTTTTGTAGCCAGTTTCTTATGAATTCTAAGGATATAATTTCACAGACACTCTGAACAACCTGTATCGGTGCTCAATTCTGTTCATGTCAATTTTTTTTTCTCATATCCAGACAGAACCTTATGATTATCACCTCTCATTGTCTTGCCATGCACCTCAGTAAAGAACTGGGGTCCATCTCCTTGGTGATTCCCTGTTGGGAATGCAGTCCTTTAGAAGATTTCATGGTCTTCTCTCATCTAGGTTAAACAAGCCTCATTGTTCACATGCTGCATGTCCCTGGCTATTTAGGTAGCTGTTCACTGTACACACTCTAGTTTATAAACTACTTTCTACAGGGTTGAAACTGGACACAATATTCTAGTCACAGTCTATGAAATGTGAAGCAAAGGGGAACAGTCACTCCTCTTATCTACTTGGTACAGTCCTGTTGAGGCAGCCCCCTACATTGTTCATTGTCTTTTCTGTCAGGAATCAACTGCTGGCTCAGCCCACCGCCCATAAGGACACAAGCACCCTCTCAACAGAGCAGCTGCCCAAACTGGCTGGCTCTGCCTGCATAACTGCAGGGGTTCATCCAACTGGGGCTGCAGAACTTTGCACTTGTCCTTAATTTCATGAGGTTTCCTATTGGACCCTTCCTCCACACTCTCTAGGTCCATTGCTCTGAATGGCAGCCCTACTCTGAACTGTATTGGTTGCACCTCCTGATTTGGTGTCATCCACAAACTTGAAGGAGCATCTGCTCCTCCAGGTCATTGATAAAACTACCAAGCAGGAGAGCTCCCAGAAGAGTCTCCTGAGGAATTCCACAGAAACCTGGCTTCAGACTACAACATGACTCATTTACCACTGCTCTTCAAACCTGATGATCTGGTTCTTCACCTATTTGAGACAGCAATTGGTCAGCAATTGTTTGCTAGTCTGCCCCACCCTGACCTATGTCCCAGCTTGGACACAGACATGTTGCAGGACAGTGTACTGAATGCCTTTGCAGGGCAGATGACATTCATTGCCCTCCCCTGACCCACAGATCTCTCTCTCTTCTGTGAAATAGGTATCATACTTTTGTCAGAAAAGATAAAAAAAAAAAAAAAGACATAAGGAGGCAAATGTCCCATAAACAGAGTCTGAGGCAACTGGGCTTGGTAAGCCTGGAGAAGAGAAGATTTAGGGGGAACCTAACAGCAGGTTTCAAGTATCTATGAAGAGCTAATCAAGAACATGAAGCCAGGCTCTTTATAGCAGTGTATGGTAGAAGAATAAAATGTTATGGACAAATATAGAAATAAGAAATGCTTTGACTGGATCTAAGGCAAAACTTTTCCCCATGACAACAGCTGACCAGAAGAGCAGGTTGCCCAGAGAGACCAAGCAATCTCCATCTTTGGAGATTTTCAAGACCCAACTGGAAAACAGGACTGAGCAACCTGATCTAAAGTCATAACAGACCTTGCTTTGAGCAGGAGGTTGGAGTAGTGATCTGGTTTCCAATTTCAATTATTCTATGATTATTTCATCTTATCCTTCAAAGTAAGCTGGCTTAACCACTTAAAGGTTTAAAAGAAATTTTTTGGTGTAGTTTTTATTTACTGTCAGGCAGATCAGTGGTGACAGAGAGCACAGACCCGCACATTAATGAAAATAATAGTTCTATCAGGCACAGTAGCCTGTGTTCTTCATTGAGCCTAGCCAAGCAGTCTCCTGCAAAGAGAGTAAATCTCAGAACACTTTCCTTCTGCCAGTAAATGACTTAATCAGGAAGGAAAAAGAAAAAAGAGAAAAAAGTGATTGGCAAGAACAATATGGTCCAGTTAACATACAGGTTGCCCAGTTTGTTCTGTAACACAGCAAAAAAAGCCACATCAATGTTTATATATAGCTTTTAAAATCATCTTCCATATACCCCATATTAGGAAAGTATTTTACCCACCTCCCCAGAGGTCCAATTGCCACAGTAAGATTTCCTCCAAGTGTAAGATTCCCTCCTTTGGCAAAAGCTTCCACTGCTCTTTCATGATTCAGTATTATCACTAAGTCTGAAACCTATAAAATATCAAATACTATGTATTTGTACAATGTTTTTGTACTATGTTTTATTATGTACTATTTTGTACTACGCTTTTTAAGAAGAAAGAATAGCACAGGAGAAGCACTTCCTTTCTTTTGAAACAGCTTTCACAACAAAGTTGATTCTTTTTCTGCAAGGTATTTTGAAACAAAAATTCCTCCAAACTAACTTTTCAATCAAATTTGACTGATTTTTTTCAAAGTGCTGATATGGTCAGTATGATATAAACAACAGTTATAACAGAAACTCTATTTTAATTCAAAATTTCCTAATTAACAATTTCCTATTTTCTATGGCTTATGCAAACAATTATGAAGGCATTTTCAGATGTAAATAATTTTGATCCTTCCATAATTAAACTAATAAAAGCAAGACAGAACTTACTAACAAAAATTACTGTCCAAAGAATAAAAAGCAAAAAGGATACAGGTCTTCTCGCTATGGATAAAATTTTATTTTCTTGATAAGGGTTTTATATATAATATGTGTGTGTGTGTGTGTGTGTGTGTGTATGAATTATTAACTAACTTTTTAAGACTTGTACATTAGACGTAGTCAGTTCCTTCAAGAACCTATTAAACTAAATAACCGAAGAGGTAGCAACGTATTTTCAAAAGATGCAAAATGGAAAAAAAAAAATCACTATTTTTAAAAGACTTTATGTATCAAAGTACTCCTACTACTATTTAAGCTGATGCCTATTACCATCAGTACTGTAAAACTGTAACTCTTCAATTTAATAAATTTCAATAAAAGTCTTTTACAATTCTTTTCCCAATCTAGGAAGCATTTTAAAGAAGGAAAAAGTCTTTCAAACACATGCATGATCTTATAAAGATCACTCTATTGTACCTGAAAGCTCAGTAAACACACTAAATGTTGTAAAAACCTCACAAAACTACAGCAGTGTCAGCCTGTTCAATACAGCAGATTACACTTCAATAGCTAACGGTGATGGATTATCTTTTCCACAGGTATCTTGACTACCCAAGAACTACTGCACCTGATCTTTCATCTGGTGGACTTGACTGAAAGCCAGGTTCAGAAAAAACTTTCAACTTACCCCAAATTCCAAACAGTGACAGCAGGGAATACAAGAGGAAATACCAGATTATTTGCAAAACAAGGCTGGCCTTGAAGTATTACACACAGCATAGGAGAAGTCTTTGTTATTAGCCCCCCTGTGGTAGCCTCCACCCCATCCCAAATAAAAATTGGTTGACAGGAGTAGTTTTTGAATCATCCAGGGATAGAGAAAGAATGTCATTCAGAATACCCCTACCTCCTTTTACGCATTAAGAGGATGATTCCACTGCTAAAGCTAAGTGAATCCATAGTGAGAAAACCTTCAAGGAAAGCATTTATATAAATTTTAAAATTGGTCTTTAATTGAGGTACCAAGTTTTTCACTGTGACTTCCGAAGTCTATGATTTCCTTCGTGTTATTTAAGACCATCCATAAGTACCACTACCACTATGTTAACTGTAATCTCCCCTACAGGAATAAAATTCACCCAGTTTCTAAAACATTTAAGTTTATATGTGATTAAAAGAGTGCTGAAATCGGACTCTAGGCTTCTTAGCCACTCGGGTATTTCTGAATAGCATATATTTTCTAGAAGAAATAAATAAGACTGTGTTATAATAATGTCAGTAAGGAAGGAGCATTTTGTAAGCTGACTAAAATTTCAAATGAAGAGCATAATATTACCCAGAAAAAACCCCTCTCACAAATAGCTTCTGTATTGAAGTGTCAACAGTAAATGGTTACATTATCTAAAATATCAGATGGGGATGATTAAAGGAAATTTTTTATAGATTAATCAAAGCATATGAATAGTCTGTTTAATTGTCTTAAAAGGAAAAAACAACCCACCTTAAACCCCACAAAAAACAAACTCTGGGGCTCAAACTGAATGTTTTATAATGCATTCAGATCATGTAGTCATGAAAATCAAAGAAAATCCCTCACAAAATTTAATGATTTTGTATTCACAGCATCCTTTAAAAAGTGCACTGCAATAACGGCTGAGATCACACAGTGAACAAGGAGGATACAATAAAATACTGATCTGTTGCTCATTATGTGAGTACCGGCTGAGTGGCTGCCAGGACAGGGATAGCTGGTTAGTTGCAGGAGATGTGCTGGGGGCTGACATGGACCATCCAGATCAGCTATATGTGGATTCTTCTGAGGAGCAGAATGCCCATTGCAAAAGATCTTGTTGGCAACATATTGTTACTCTGATGTTCTTTGGGAATAAGCAGAACAGAAGCTAAACAGAAAGAAAAGAGAAGGACGAGCCTGGAGACTAATGTGGGAAAGAGAAGGAAAGATGAAAACAAACAAGTGTGAAGGAGCTGTGAGAAAGAAGAAATGGGAAGAAGAGGCAGAGCGCTGTCAGGACTCAGCACACCAGGATTTCTCTGAACATGTTGAGAGTCCTTTACTTAACCATTTCTGCTGTCTGGAAATCGGCTTCTCTTCTGTAGCAATCCTTCAGAAGGGGCACCACTAGTTTTGGTGCTTTCAAACTGAAGGGCCATGGTCAGTAGCCACAAGTGTGAGTGGGAAATGCGAGAAGTACAGTAACATTAGCTAGTCTCCATTTTACTACACCTTCAGTTCCTTTCACTGTTTCTTGCCAGATGGAGTCCTTGTGCTCTTTAACAAAGCATTTTATACAGTATTATGTATAGGATACTGTTTTAATTAACTCCGATTGGCTTATATGTGAACACTGACAGGAAGCTTTCCATTCGTGAAAGCTTCTAGAAGTGAGAAATCAAGGAAACAAGTGCTATGCCACTTCTTTTCATCTAAATGTCTTCAAACGATTAGACTGATAGGATCAAATCCCCTCTTTTGTTTGTCTTGTATAAGTGAATTTTATAATAACCTTTTTTTGGTACAGAAAAGTAGATTCTACTATTTCACCAGCATTTAGATCTTTGTCAATGCATTTTAATTTCTTGCAAAAAAAGTTACCAACAAGTATTTCAAATGCAAAATCATACCTCAATTCCAATTTCAAATCCACCACCAAGGCCAGCAATTCCTATTGCAGAAGGAGCAGACCAGGCTGTCATTCAAAACAAGATAAATTTACAGAATTTTAACCACATGTCACAAGAAATACTCATTTTATTATTGCAGTTAAAAAACACTAACAAATTCTCTATTTAAAACTATGTTCAAAACTACTACAATAGAGTCATGTAACTATAATGCCTCATCCCACAGGAAAGAATTTAAGAAATACAAACACTCACAATCCAAACAAATCTTTGTTACAAATTATTTGTCACACAGTTGTTCCCAATCAGATACAATTAATTTTTCTAATGAGTTTTAAACTATGCACTATTTTATTTCATCCTTTTACACTAAGATACTGAAAGCATTTACATCTGGCCAAAAGAGGTACAAACATTTGAAAACAGCTTTCAAATGAAGCACTGTCACCTACTGGCCTGACTCCTCACAAATTTCCCGCTTTATGCTATGAAAAGAAATAATGAAGAAAAAATATTTTTATTTCTTTTAATTCTCCCGTGAACTACAAAAGGAAAATATCCACTTACTTCCATTAGGAAGACGAGCTAATACAATTCCACTTCCTCCCCGAGCAGTCACCAAAAATCCAGCTTTGATAACGGACAAAACCGCAAGGCCTCTGGCTTTAGCTATTACGTGAGCTGAAACAGCAAAATCATTTATTCAAGACCTTGGAAGAGAAGTTGTAAGAGAAGGGGAAAACAAAATTCTACATTTAACAATTTTGGACACATAAGAGTCAAGTAATCGAAGCAAGTGCTTAAAGAAAACTGAAGAAAGTTGAACTGATAATGACACCTCCATTCCAAAGTGAACCACAAAGTCAGCTGCAGGTCATATTAGCCTGTGACAATTTGTATACTGCCACAACTCCTTCACCTATACTGATTAGCTCATAAAGAGTTAGTTTGCATAGTGCCACACACATTGTGTGTGAGTACCCCTAGCAAGATAAACAGAAAAAAGGCAGTGAATAGCTAATAATCTCATCTCCACAAATTTCTGAAGGAGTGCAAATTTAAATCACAGCAACATACAACAGTCTAATCAGCTTATATCATTAGGAAGTGTTAGTGGCAAATACAGTGTCATCATCCTGCAAGTCTTACTGCAGACCTTCCGGAAAATAACAGTTATGAATTCAAAGCCACAAACAGCAAATCCAGATGTAGGAATACACTAGGAGAAACACAGAGTAACAACTGCAAAAATAAAGAGGACAGCAGCAAATAAGAGTCAAACCAGAATCAAATGAGAACAGCGCCCCAATCTCTTTACTTCAACCTATTGTCATCTAGCTAATTTTAATAAATACAGATATTCACGAACTAGAGCTACTATTCTAGGTCCTCTCTTAAGAACATACATTTACAGGGTGGGCATGAGACAGTCCATCCATTCATCCTTCCAGTGCAGGAACCCTGTGGTTGTAAACATTCAAAAGATCTCTCCCAGGAAGTAACATCTGCCAAGAATACAGCAAACTGAAACCCTTTACTTCCAATACATTTTCAAAGAAGTTATGGCACCTGAAATCTTCATTCATCTCTAAGTTGTGGTCAGTGAAAGCAAAGAGAATTGGTAAAGAGAGTATGACTGTAACACAGGGGAGTGGTGAAGGTTTTAGTTGAATCAAAACATTTTCTTTACTCACGAGGTATGATTTTATCTGGTCCATTTCTAGAAGTTATTTCTGTAAATTCTCGTAATATTTTAGCTGCCTTTTTAGCTTCTGACTTCAAGTTGGAAGGTATAGGGTTGTTCACTGTAAAACATGAAAGAAATAAATTATATCTATGGTCAGTTCAGGATATCTCATACAAAAAACCCAATATATTTTGTATGGGAAAACTGATTCTTTACAAATAAGGAGGAAACCATAGAAACACAGAAATAGGAAGCATAAGAAATTATCTTCTGCGTCAGACCCACATTTTGTCTCTGACAATTTTAACGGAAGATACCACTTAAAAAAACCCACAAGCCCAGCTCTTTCTTCCAATCTGTTTCTCTTGTACTTCCTCAGAATCCACACTGGTAACCACAGTGGTGTTGGAAATACATCCTCAGTTGTTCCTGTCTCTATTTGTTTATGGGTTTATTGCATATGAATTTGTCTAATACCTTTTCAAACCTGTTGATACTCTGCTTTCAGAATTCTTGCTGCACCAGTTCACCACCTGCTACTTAAAAAAATATGTGATCTATTTTAAATTAATTTACTAGTTACAGTGAATGCCTGCTAGCTCAAGTCTCTCAGGTTCTGGTGAACACCTAATGCATTCAACTTGTCCACTACCTTCATGACTTTATACAAAGCCACGGCCCCCAGCCTTCTCCACTTTTTCAGGACTCTCAGCCTTAGTCTCTCCTCAAGGTAGTTGCTCCATCACTGATCACTCTAATTGCTCTTCTCTGTACTACCATGAACTCTGCTGTCCTTCAAACTGGCAACTATTGACCGGTGAACTCTAAATTGTTCACATCTCTGCAGAACACTTTTCTTACAGAGCTAAACTTGCAGCATGTTTTGTAAGCGAATAAAATTCTGTTTCAGACCAAGAAATTTCCTTTAGAAATCTACTTCCTGTGGAAGAGCTTATCAATATTTTCTTTCTAATGTGACCCAACATAAGCTTGTTGTACCTTTCAACTGAGGAAAAAGCACATACTAGAGATAAATTATGTTTACTTTATAAAGCTGCAGACAACAGTAACAAACACACAAAATCTCGATATTTACCACCCAAATCCATGAAATTATAAATTCTATGGGAGTGCATTGATCCCACTCAGATCTACCACATATGCTGTCATTAGTCAACGACTGAAAAGAGACAAGTATTATAAAATATTAATATTCTGCAACAGTATAAATACCATTTTATGTATGAATAGTATGTTTCACCTGTAGATTTGCAAAAAGATGCCTTAGTACAGATAAAAAGATATGAGTTAGTCCTGATTGATACATCTACTAAAATCCCTAAAAGTTATCACTTAAATTATTCTTGTTTTCCTCTCTGGACATATTAATACTCACTATTTCCAAGTTTATCAGCAGCATTCCCATCCAAAAGAGGACTACATAGATTTTGAGATTAAACCAATGTTGCTTGGAGAGCAATTCAGCTCAGACTTGAAGCACAAAGCAGCAAGTCAGCCAAGTTTCTGTTCAGGCTCCACTGACTAGAATAGGAACTACACCTCCACTTTCCAAAATAAAGAATATTCCCCTAGTATGTTTTTCAGGCAAGAAGGAAGACTTCCAGAACAAGAGAGATTTTGACATCTGAATCTCTGGACTATTGTTCCCTGTGAAGTCTTGTAGCAACATGTGGCTTTGGTGAAAATGCAGCAGGTGTAACATTGGAGAGTTTGAAGTGACAGCAGACATCACAAGGCTATCCAAAAATATCAGCCTCTCTGGGAGCAAAAGGAAGTAGATGCATAGAAAGCAACAAACTCTAAACCACGGTGCTGTACCAAAGAAGAAATACTAATTCTATCTCCTGATCATCCCTTCTCAGAAAATTAAGATGATAGCCAAGTCCCTGAGTGTGAAAGGATAGGAGAAGGTGAAGCTCTCCGTGCTCAGGACCTTCTGAAAAAGCTCTTGGCATGTGAAATTTTCTGTGACTCTTATGGCACTAAAATTGTCAGAATGCGTGCAGGAGTTTTGAACATACATTTCTTCTGTGATTTGAAGGCTTCACTAGGCTGGAATCTGGCTACACAGCAAGAAGGGAAGCCAGTATAGCCCAAACAAAACATGAACAGACAATTGCTTTTGGTAGATTAAACTGGGCTGGAGCAAATGTTTCCATTGCTTCTGTTATTTGTACTTCACACTGCATTTTCAAGGTCAGAGTGTAAACATTACCAGCATAAGAGAAAAATAAGATTTTTGCTTTTGTATGGAGATACATTGAGTCAGTCCCAAAAAGCATATGGAAACAGCATTCTTCACAAGAAGGCATGAAAAATAAACTTAGCATATTATAATTTGTAATTAATAATTAACATTGTAATACACAGTGCATGTCCAGTTACAAAATCAGATGAACACTTCTATATGTAGTTTTTCAGTTAAGATATTTTGCAAGTCTAGAGGTCTTGAGTTTGGGAAGGGTCACCTACCCAGTCTACCCAAAATACACATATCATGGTACTTAATTATTCTTATGTTTCAATAACATTAAAGTGGAAGATATGCTTCATTCTAACTGTGGTAAAATGGACGGTTATGTGCCTGACCATGCAGGACTTCTAGCAAAGTGATCAAGACAATGAAAATAAGATGTATATATTAGAGACAAAAAAACTTTGGGGAGATAAAAACATTGTGAAGATAAAAAAACATGACGGAGCAAAAGCAAGCATTATCAAGCTTCTAGATTAGAGAAATAAAATAAACTTCTGTGCTTTTCTCTCACTCTTCTTTCCTGTCTTTGCATGCATTCCTTCCTCCCCATTGCTTCTTTTTGGCTAATCTCAGAATCTGGAGAAACATCTCCAACTAATTCATTCTACTACTAAAAAAACCAAAAAAAGCAAAAGCTCTTATTTCGTACGGATTAAAGAGAAATCCCTTAGCTAAGTCCATTGAGAAAACATGAGATGTTTTCAGACCTGAAAGTCTGCAATCAGGAAGAATAGTGGCGAGGAAAAAAAAATCACAGTTTTCATACTTTTTTCAGATTCAGAATTGGTTCAGAAGTATTTAATGGTTACCAGACAACACTGTAGCCATGCCTCTGTGCACGTAGAAGTTAATTGAAGACAACTCAAAGCTAAACTTCAGGAGTCAGCAAAAGCAATGCAGTTACTACTTCACTGTCCCTTCACCTCTCAAAATGTAATTGGTTTCAAAATCAGGTTTCGGTTGCATCTTGGGTCAGGATGGAGGATGTTTAAGTAAGCCTTTCAACTGTTTACTTTGAAAGTTTCACAAGATACTGAGGATGACTCCATGATTTTCCTACCTGGCTTATTTTTATCCTAGTGTTCCTATATTGGAAAAAATCAGGAAGAATTTTTTTACAACAAGGATGGTATTTTTATAAACTGGTTGCCCAGGGAGGTGGTAGTTGCCCCATCCATGAAAACATTCAAGGTCAGGCTGGATGGGTCTCTGAGCAACCTGCTCTAGTTGAAGACGTCTCTGCCCATTGCAGGAAGAGTTGGATTAGATGTCCTTTTCCCTTCCAACACAAACCATGACTTACCTGCACTATGATTCCAAATATTGTATTCCAAAATACAAACTTTGGACAGCAAAACAGCATTACCTAAGAAAACTGAACAGTAGGTATATCCACTCCAATCCCTCTAAAAGGGTGGGGGGTTTTTTTGTTGGTGGATTTTTTGTTGGTTTTTTTTGGTGCCACATAGTGTGGGGTACCTTCATTACCAGGGCATAGAGAAGATGGAGAGAGATTCCTCATCTAGCTGTACACCACAACAGGAAGCACAAGAATAGTTTAACTTCCCATCCTTAAACTAACAGCAGACACTTCACTTTCTCCCTGTATCATTTGTTTCCTACATCAATATTGCTTCTGCAGTCTACAGGAATTCACTCCTCCAGTGTCCTTTGCTTTTTCCCTTCCTGCCACAGACTGAAGCAACGCAGGGTTATTTTTCTGGACTACGATACAGCAGGTGGATTTGACATTATTCTGTCAGTTACTTTGCATGCAGGCACACTTCAGTGCTTTCAGAAGTGGGCTAAGAGACGGGTGATATTTCTAAAGCACAGTAGAGATACAGAGAGGGGGAAAAGGGAAGGAAAAAACTGAAGAGCTGAAAGCTACACATTGTAGAGAAGGGTTGCAAGTAAGATAAGTTACATCCAGATTTTAATTTAGACAGAAGCAGGTATGAAAATTAGAGTGACTTTATTTGGCAAGCAAGCATGGCACAGAAAGGTTTTAATAACAATGGGCAGGATCAACAAGCCAACTGATTAAACACTTTCATGCTGAAAACCAACACAGTTATTCAAAGTGGCTATTATATGATTCTTTCCACAGTGGCTCATTTAAAGTTCCTTTATTTACTTTCACAATGTTGTGTAGATACTAAGGAACTGGCAGGAGGCCTACAGGGGTCTTGAGGAACTGATGACTTGTTTAAAAAAAACCTCAAACAAGTCCACACCCTGACCTTAATTATGTATAATACAATGCTTGATAAAGCCTGGCTGGACTTGCATTTTGCTAGGATTGTTAGAGCCACAGCAAAAGAAATATAATATTTTTTATCACTGAGGAGAGGGAGAAGTTTGGTTCTCTGTCTTGGGCTATGCCACACTCAAGATTTTGTTGACAGAATTCAAGATTAAATAAGAAAACAGTCAACACTAAAAAGGCAAAGTTTAATGGTTTGCTATGTAGTGCAGGTGAGGCCTCACTCTCACTATTAAAATTTAGATCAATCAAATTCATAAACCTCTGTCCAAAGGCAAAGAAAATTATGGTTTTTTTTCAGTAAAAAACCCCTAGTAAATGGAAAATAGCACAAATATGTCAAAGACAACGCATAACTAGTTATTAACTTTAAAAAAAAAAAGTACATGGGGGTTTGCACTATGAAATAGTGACATCTTCCCCAAAATACAATAGAAATAAAATAAATAGAGATTACGGTGAAGGTTGAGGAGCAAATTCTTGCTTCTGCTTATTTTATTCACTGTATAAACAGACAAAACTGTAAGTGGGATTTCTGTGACATCAAAAATGGTTTCAACTTCTGTTCATCCAT